AAAGTCCAGTGACAGCTTAACTCTAACTGATAGTAGCCTATAGTAAATGCCTTTCCATTTACATGTACATCAGTTTTTTCCCATCTGGCTGTCAACATAGGCCTGTTCATTCATATTTGTATTTTTGATGACAACTTTGATGCAGTGTGACACCTGCTGGTCATTTTTAATAACTACTTTTGGCGTGCTTGCTGTCATGTTGATACTTTTACAGAACAGACTTCACTGTTCACGGTACATCCTGAAGAAAACTTACTATAGAGCTTTCATTTTCATGGTCTATCAGCTGCATATTAACAGGCAATACAATAAAACGCTGTTGCATTATTTCATTGCCTGTCTGTGCATCTGCAGCCTCCGGGTCTGCAGAGACATACTGCTGGCGTAAAGGCCAAGAGGTAACCTTATTTTGAAAGGCACAACCCAAATGTAAGTGACAGAGCACGTTAGCCAATCAGAAGCAAGGGAGCGCTGAGAGCCCGCCCACCAATGAAATGAAATATGAAGTGGTAAATTTGTTTTTTTGCAGTAGGATCAGAAAACAAGGAATTGAGCTGAATTTTGTTTTTTCATTTTTTTTGCCAAAAACAAAAAAACAAAAAAACGACTTGTTTCTGGTTTCTGATTGTGTCAGTTATTCCCAGAAAACAAACGGTTAAAAGGTACCTTGGTCGAGAGTGTGGGTCTGGATAAATTAATATTCACAAAAAAAAAAAACAACAAAAAAAAGCAAACCTCGCCTGAATTTTTCTGGAGGATAGTCTTTATGTTTAAAGGCACACTTTCTGACTCCAGCTCCTGAATGAGTTGCTGTTTCTCCTGGTCAAATTTGGAGCAGTACTCAGTAACATGCTCTACAGTCTCAGCAGTATTACATATACTACATTTACCATCAGCATGTTTCTTTAAAATAAGTAAAGTACTGCCTAAACCAGTATGCCCAAATCTCATCCTAGAGATAATGTCTTCCTCTTGAGTTGATCTAGTTGTTGGTCTTGCATCACCAACATACCTTTGAACACTATAGTACTTCCTCCCAGTGATAGCATTATTCCAGTCACTTTCTGTCCATACAGCAACAAAACAGCGCAGCAAAGTAGTGCCTGTGAGCCTGTGCTCAGGGCAAAACAATCTGAAGGTTGCTGCAGCTTGAGCCTGTCAGCCTGTGCTCAGGGTGAGGCACACTTCGAGTTACAGACACAAATCTTCTCAGGCGTTTGCGGATCTCACACGGCAGAAGAGTAGCAAAAATCACGTGTACAAAGAGAGCCAATTGAGAGGCCCGACTGAGTCAAGCCTGAAGACATAGGTATTTACAAATCTGTCTACATATTTACAGATCTCTGTACGCATTTACAGATCGCAATACACTTGCAAATCTGAATACAGATTTGTAGATTTTTTTACACATTTACATATCTGATTACGCACACACAGATTCTAAATACACATTTGCAGATTTTTGTATGCATTCACAAACTTTATTTCGCTTTTACAAATTATTTTACACATGTACAAATCTGATTACGCACACACAGATTGAGAAACGCATTTGCAGCTATTTTGCTACCATAATGGCCCCATAAACAGTCCTTCGGCAGGGTCTGATGACATAGCATTCTTGAAATTCTGTTTGAGGATCCTTCCTTGACTTTCAGAAACACCTAATGATTGCGCTGAGGACGCTGGCCTTATCCGTGTCTGAGACTTGCCACCTGTTATCAGTTTCCTTCACCAGTTTCCTGGTGAAAAAACAAAACAAAAACCAAAGTATTTGAATACTGATTTGGACGTTGCGTCACCATGGCAACAGTTGAAGCTTCAAAGCATTCTGGTCAGCCCTAATCATCAGGACGTTGTGACTGAAATGGTTCAGGAATTGTGGATACAGAGGGACTAAACTAGGAACTAAAATGTCTCTCGTGTTTGCATTTCAACAGCATCTGAAAAACTGTGAAGAGTAGGCAAATTAGAACGATGACGGGAAAAAAAATATAGCGGTGTTTTTAATGACACGTTTTGAACATTTACACATTATTTTACCAGCCTCACAGACACCACCCTGAACCATCAGAAAGTGCCACTCCCAGAGTCAGAACGAAAGGTCTTACATGTGAAACTAACAGGAGCTAAGTTTAGTCACTGGCTTCTCCGGTGGAAATGCAGGTTTAGTTCCTCAAAAGTTTCTTGGCCCCCCCGTGAACTAAGTGTCTTTCTGTGCTGACAGTTACTTCTGTTATGTTTGAGATAGAACAGGTTCTACAGGTTTGTTGCGGTTATTACAATGAATATATCTCATCTGAATTTCCCCTCCAGTGTATTTTCTTACAGGTTGTTGTTCAGTGATGAAGTCGCATAGCGAGTCAGACGTATCTGGCTTTCGTTTGCCTTCTTTTGGGCCATTTAGATAGTTACAGACATCACGTGTCTTTGTCTTCAGAAAGAAACCTGAAGGTTTTGTCAGTGTGGCTGGACACTCAGAGCAAAGATGCACATTTAAAGTTACTGCTTTCTAGTAAAAATGAGAACCATCTGGAGCATTGCTGTCGATAAGCATCCTGTTCACTTATACCTGCAGCGAAACCACCAGTCCAGTCCTGGAACTGTCCTGTCCCGCTGGAACCTTGGGGTAGGACACGAGTCTCTCAGACCAAATAAACCTCACAGCTCTCACTACTGTATCTGTGTGAAGATAAATCCTGTAGAAACAGCATGGACTTCCTGTCAGACCCCGTCAGTCAACTTTGCATGGGTTAATGAAAAATTCCTGTCTGACTCCATGCTGGTGTTTCTTTGATGTTTTTTGTCTGATATGAAAACAATGAGAATCTGCCCCCGATCACAGAGACAGGTCCACCTCCCCTCATCATCCACAATGCATGTATTTGAATCCACGCACTGCCACCTAGTGGTGAAAGCTACAGCCCTGCACTTTCACATTCACAGGGGTGACTCTCCCACCCACCGTGCCCTCACTCTAGTATGTTCCAGAGTTTGCTTAGAAAGCCCTTGTCTAAACACTGACCATAAAGCCAGTCGCGCAGTGAAGTCAAAGCCTCTCAGCACTCAATGGATGCTTTTTAACTGCTCGGTTGTTTTTTGTCGACTCCCCGTTGTTCTGTGCGGGGCTTTGTCCGTCTCATCACAGTGTTCTCTGTTGTCTGTCAGTGTATTTATACTCGTTTGAATCAGTGCCCACTCGTGTTTGAAGTGAAAAGGGCTCTGCTTTAGTGAGTCTCGGTGTCGATGTGGAAGCAGTTTATTCTTCCAACCCAGCGGAAAATGATCCCTGGAAAGTGGGTGAGAGGAAAATAAGCAGCTGCTGTGACGTAGCTGTGTTTACCACAGAGAGGGAGAGTGGGGTCAGCTCCGAGCCTGTGGACACAGGGAAGCGTGGGGGGCTTTTGAACAGGGCTTGACACTATTGATCACATGGATGAAGGCTAAAACCCCCGGTGCCATGGAATGATGGAGGGGTGGGACCGGCATACCATCAGATCAGGGCCTCGGCAGGCTGTGTGTACTCTGTCCTCGTCACAACAACACGCCAGAGCTGATACACAGAGTGTGAGAGCGAGCGCTCAGCAAGGCCGCGGCCCACAGTGAAACACCAAAACACGTCTGTGATGACTGCAGTGTAGGTGGGAACGAAGGGAAACTAAGATAGCGCTGCCATTTTGATTCACACAGCTGACCCTTGGCACAGCCAGGTGTCTCGTCATCCACATCATTTTTCCACATTATTCTGCCCTAGTTGCCTTATTTAACCAAGGCTCACAAAAGAGAGGTCAGCTGGTGTGAGTCAGTGTGAACGTTGGCAAGAACAGCGAGTTCACTTGAAAATGAATGGAGCTCACCGCAGGTCTCATTCAGGGCAAAAGGTGACACTGAAGGGGAACTCCTTTAGTTTATTCAAGAAGGCTGAGTCAGAGTCATTTTTCTGAGGAAGCCTGGATTATTGGGTATGAAGAGGAAACTCCTACATGTTTTCTGCTGGGTGTTCTGGAGAAAGGTTTATTTAATGTTGCTGTGCTGGTGGATAGAGTCACAGCAGATAATAAAGCTGATCAGGAAAGATGGTTCTGGTATTCATTACAGAGGACAGTACTTTGAATGACTGATGACTCCATAATAATCACGTTTATTAACTGCTGGAAACAAATCTTCCAGTAAGACGAGGAGGAGCTGCTCCTGCTTTAAATTATGATTTACTGATGAGCTTTCAGTATCATCCTGTATGTGTCTTAGTGTGAGCACTGCATCCTTTGGCGTATCCATTCCTCCATTATAGACAGACGTTTAATACTGACTCTGATCATATACTCAGAGTGCTTTTATCTTGTTGTTACACTTTTTTAACATACACATTCTGTTTGTCTCTGTGTTTATTCCCTGTGTCCTGTCCTCCTGGTCTTTGCTGTAGATGCTTGAATGAATAAAATAAATGAAAATGAAAGTGAACAGAAAAAGAATGTAAAAGTAAACACAGGAGTTATTCATCCTCCATTTGTTCCCACCCCAGCAAACATTCACCCTGAACTGTAAATGAAACAGACTGCAGACTGAGGCGATGTCCTTACTGCTCTTCTGTCTCCCTGTTTGCTGCTGCAGTAGTGGTTGGAAATTTAATCCTGTAAAGTGTGAATGGAAAAAGGATGAAGAGCAGAAACACTGCTGTTCAGGATGTAAGAACAATATGTACAGACCTAGACTAAAGAACACAGTGAAATGTTTTGACGTCTCAGGTGTCAGATGTTTGGTGCTGTACTAAATTACAGTAATTAAGTTGTGTTGTATGTGTGAAGCTGAGAAGGCCAAACAGAGGTTACTGTGGGGTTAGTGATGCACTGGGGCCCTCTATTGGTGTACACTGTGCATGTCATCTCTCTGTGGGAATAAATGAAGATAAAGTGATGTGCTGAAGTAATATATGCTGCTGCAGTTTAGTCGTTGGATCTGCCCCTAACGTGTTGTATTGTGTTTTTCTCTCTGCTCTTCAGCCGGCGAGGAGGCAATCTCTAACTCCTCCTTCACCCAACACTATATCCTGGGAAGAATACATCACTGCTGACAATGGAAAGTAGGTGTTACAGAGTAAACCAGACCGTTAAGAGGAATAAATGTTGCTATAATTCATAGACACATTGTGTTTGTGAGTGAAGGAACAAATCTGAAAAAATAAAATCCAAATGTATCGTATTTTTTTATTTCATCTAAATTTTCTGATGCAAACATCTAAGTTTCAGTGTGACAGCCTTGTTGTTTCCTCTGACTGATAAGTTCAGTTTCTGTTTAGTAGGAACATGAGTGACAGAAAGCAGAGCGAGTTACCTCCATGAAAATAACTAAATTTCAAAACTCTCTGCATAATAACCAGACGTAAGCTCTTCATCACGGGATTACTCTCTGACAGATTGTCGTCTCTCTCTCTCCGCTCAGAGCTCCTCATCTAGGTCGAGAGCTGGTCTGCAAAGAGAGCAAGAAAAACTTCAAAGCCACGATAGCCATGAGTCAAGACTTCCCTCTGGGCATCGAATCGTGAGTCTTCTCTTTAACATTGGCGTCCAGACTGTTATTAAGATGCAGGCAGCCAAACGTTTCTCCTGGCATGTGCACAGTGGTGATAAAAAGGGAAATTACCAGTTTGTGCAAATGACAGAAAAAAAATCTATCATATTTTTTATTTTGTTGTTGTTCTCCCCAGGTTGCTGAATGTTCTGGAGGTGATTGCACCCTTCAAGCACTTTAATAAACTCAGGGAGTTTGTTCAGATGAAGCTCCCCCCTGGCTTTCCTGTCAAGCTCGGTGAGCAGAATTTTCATTTGAAAATATGTAAAGAAATCCACCACAGACTGGTGTTAGATTTACAGGTATGTCTGTGAGATCTCCAGAGGTGTAATTAGTGTTTCTGTTCACGTCTCTCTGCAGACATCCCTGTCTTTCCCACGATCACAGCCACCGTGACGTTTCAGGAGTTCCGCTACGACGAGTTCGATCAGACCATTTTTACCATTCCCAACGACTATAAAGAAGACCCCAGCCGCTTCCCCGACCTTTAACCTCTCAAGCTCGAGCAGGAAACAAACATGCAACAAGGCGACATTATGCTACAAACCAGACTTTTTGAATTACAACAGGAAACACGGAGGGAAAAAACATCGTTTCTCGACACTTCATGGATTTCCATCTCCCATCCCAACCCTGAACACAAACAGCAACACGACGACCTGAGTTTGATACAGGACTTTAAAATCGGATGGAGGCCCACTGTGGCAGAGAGGTCGACATCTGCTCATGTTAGAGAGGTTTTTTTAAGCTCAGTGTTGAAGGTTTTTACTCACACCTTCAGATTTGGTTTAATCCAGCAGCCGAGGCAGGAAGTGCAACTAGCGTGGAGCTGAGAGGCCGAACGTCTCGTCAGCAAGAGAGCATTGGGATTTAAAGAAGTGACAGCAGAGCAGGTGAGTTTTCTGTATACGGGGTATGAGTAGAAGACAGAAAGACAGTTCAGTTGATGCTTTGTATTTAAGTATGTACGTAATGTTTTTAAAGGGAATGTGTTGAACTGACCTGTAGTAAAGCACTGATATTACTGTGTGAGCCGCTCTGGAGGAATTCCACCAAAAATGACTTTTTAGGCTTTTTTTCCTGCGTCAGCAGACTTTAAGAAATTTGTTATATAGACGTCAACACGGCATTAAATTGTATATAATAAAATGCACACCTAAAAGAATGATATTATAATGAAATCACTACTTTTTGCACTCATTTCTTTAACAATTTCAAATTTAGAAATGTTTCCAGAGATGTCACAACACTGAAAATCAGTTTTGGAAAATGTTAAAGTCAAGTGGCATCTTTAGTAGGTTAAAAACCTAAAAATCAGTTTTTGCAGAATTCCTTTGTGTGTGTGTGTGTGTGTGTGTGTGTGTGTGTGTGTGTGTGTGTGCGTGCGTGCGTGTGTGCATGTGTGTGTGCGTGTGTGTGTGTGTTAGAGAGATGTCAATGGGCATGGAGTAGCATCACTGAACTTTCGGGCACTATTTGGATCCACTACAGCCACTCTACATTCAGTTGAGTTCATCAACACTCATCTTGTGATACTCAACCCTTTTATCCTGCATTTGAAATATTATAGTTTAATCAAGGCAACGCTAGAAATGTTGCAGTTTTTATGGTACCACAAAGTTTTCTCTTAGTTTGTTGGAGTGGCTGCGTGTGTAAGTAATCATGTCTAAGCCTTTTGTTTCTTACTACACCTTTGTAAACTATGTAACAAACTGTACAATTGTGCTAAAAAAAAGAGAAGTGGGGATTGTATACTAAGTAGATATTAGGGAATAAATGAATGACAACAACATTCATGCCATTTTTACACCCTAACGACAAGAACCAGGCATTTCCCCCTGCACAGTATGTAAATACATGTTTTATGAGCCTTTGTCTTTTATGTTCTGTTTTCTTATTCTTTGTGCTGATGAGTTTAAGGTGTCCTCTGCGAGAGGAGGAGCTGCAGATTTTTTTTTTTTTTTTTATGTAGCGTCACTAGTTAATTAAGAGTTTGTTGATTTGTAACATGGTGGCTGTTGCTATTTTTGTACATACTTGTAATGTTTTAAAGGAAAAATGAATCTCTTAATTCTTCTGTCGTTATTTCTTTTACCACTTTATCTGATAACCTGAGCAACCTCCTCCAGATGTGTTTAACAATCATGTCCACAAAGTGAAAAGCACAAAGCACAGAGCTTCCTCTGGAAATAAGTGCAGGTGTTGACTGGAGCCTGGAGAAGTTAAACTCTAAAGGGGTTTATAGTTGCTGCTGCTGCTGCTGCTTTGGTTTATGAGCTCTTAATCATGTCGATACAAACAGGTGTTGTGCTCACGTTTGTTCCTCAACTTGCCTGATCCTGGAGTGTAAATGAGAGTAAAATGAAGGTGTACTACACAGATGTGGTGGCTCAAAGTGTTATTAGAACATTTAGCTTTCTACATCCATATTCAGTATCAGTATAACCAAATACAGTACATTACATTGTTCATATTACGTTCCTCAGTATAGGCAAGTGCAGCTAACGCTACTGGAAGTGTGCCTCCTCACTGACATAACGCTTTACATTTTATTTCATGCTCCTTCCTGTCTTCAGCTGATTGAATTTTCCACGTTTTAAGTAGGAAGTTAATCCATCTACATGTCCGTTTTACAGCAAAAACTGTTGTATAACTCTGCGACACTATTTTCATATAAAATGTACTAAAATAAAAACTCCACATAACTATAAGTTTGGACTCCATGTTTTTTCACACTTTTAAGTTGCTGTTACTCTGTGAAATCTTCTAATTTGAGGAGGATAAATAAAATAAAATATTAAAAATGTCAAAATACAGTCTGCCCTAACAAATCTGTCAGTGTAATAAAACAAAAAAATCCTTAATTGACAATACTACATGTCATTAAATATGTCCAAAAATGTCTTAGTATGTTAAAAAAAAACATCACAAAATTGTAATTGTAATGACACAAAATTAAAAAAAAAATGTATGTCATAAAAGGTTTACAAGAAATGTAATTGTATAATATACCATAATGATGAATATTTCTGAAAATTCCATATGCCAAACAAGAATTAGTAAATAATGTCACAGTTTAGTATACCATTAAATGTCAGGAAAAGTCCTTGTATATTAAAAGACATCACAAATGTCTTTGTATTGTATCAAATCCATAAAGAATGTAAGTATGCAATGAAAATTTCATAACATTCATAAATGTCATAATTTCATTAAAAAAAAAGAATACTATGTAAACTATGCAACAAAAAATGTCATAGTATATATCATCCAAATTTGATAAAAAAAAAAAAACGTCATAGTATGTTGTCCAAAATGGCATAAAAAATGTCATAGTATAGTATATCATCAAGATATAATAAAAAACCTCATAATATAATATGTCGTCCAAATATGATATAAAATGTCATAGTATAGTATGTTGTCCAAATGTCACAAAAAATGTAATAGTATAGTATGTCATCAAAATGTCATAAAAAATGTCATAGTATAGCATGTCGTCCAAAATATCATGAAAAATGTCATCAAATTATGTATGTGTGTCATCAAAAATGTCATAAAAAATGGCATAGTATAGTATATCAACAAAAATGTCACAAAAAATGTCATACCATAATGTCCAAAATGTCACAAAAATGTCATATTATAGTATGTCGTCCAAATTTGATAAAAAAATGTCATAGTATAGTCTGTCATCAAAATATAAAAAATGTCATAGTGTAGTATGTTGTCCAAATGTCATAAAAAATGTCATAGTATAGTATTTCGTCAAAAATGTTACAAAAAATGTCATAGTATAGTATGTCGTCCAAATTTCATAAAAAATGTCATAGTATAGTATTTCGTCAAAAATGTTACAAAAATGTCATAGTATAGTATGTCGTCCAAATTTCATAAAAAATGTCATAGTATAGTATGTCGTCAAAATATCATAAAAAACGTCATAGTATAGTATATCATCCAAATTTGATTAAAAAAAAAATGTCATAGCATAGTATGTCATCAAAATATAAAATATGTCATAGTGTAGTATGTTGTCTAAATTTCATAAAAAATGTCATCAAAATGTCATAAAAAATGTCATAGTATAGTATATTGTCCAAATTTGATAAAAAAAAAATGTCATAGTATAGTATGTCATCAAAATGTCATTAAAAATGTCATTGTATGGTATGTCGTCCAAAATGTCATGAAAAATGTCATCAAATTATGTATGTGTGTCATCAAAAATGTCATAAAAAATGGCATAGTATAGTATATCATCAAAAATGTCACAAAAATGTCATACTATAATGTCATCCAAAATGTCACAAAAATGTCATATTATAGTATGTCGTCCAAATTTGATAAAAAATGTCATAGTATAGTCTGTCATCAAAATATAAAACATGTCATAGTGTAGTATGTTGTCCAAATGTCATAAAAAATGTCATAGTATAGTATGTCATCAAAATATAAAAAATGTCATAGTATAGCATGTTATCAAAATATCATAAAAAATGTCATAGTAAAGTATGTCATCAAAATTTCATAAAAAATGTCATTGTATAGTATGTCGTCCAAATTTCATAAAAAATGTTATAGTAGGTCATCAAAATATCATAAAAAATGTCATAGTGTAGCATGTTATCAAAATATCATAAAAAATGTTATAGTATGTCATTCAAATATAATAAAAAATGTCATAGTATAGTATGTCATCAAAATTTCATAAAAAATGTCATAGTATAGTATATCATCAAAATATCATAAAAAATGTCATAGTGTAGTATGTCATCAAAATATCATAAAAAATGTCATAGTATAGCATGTTATCAAAATATCATAAAAAATGTCATAGTATAGTATGTTATCAAAATATAAAAAATGTCATAGTATAGCATGTTATCAAAATATCATAAAAAATGTCATAGTAAAGTATGTCATCAAAATTTCATAAAAAATGTCATTGTATAGTATGTCGTCCAAATTTCATAAAAAATGTTATAGTAGGTCATCAAAATATCATAAAAAATGTCATAGTGTAGCATGTTATCAAAATATCATAAAAAATGTTATAGTATGTCATTCAAATATAATAAAAAATGTCATAGTATAGTATGTCATCAAAATTTCATAAAAAATGTCATAGTATAGTATATCATCAAAATATCATAAAAAATGTCATAGTGTAGTATGTCATCAAAATATCATAAAAAATGTCATAGTATAGCATGTTATCAAAATATCATAAAAAATGTCATAGTATAGTATGTTATCAAAATATAAAAAATGTCATAGTATAGCATGTTATCAAAATATCATAAAAAATGTCATAGTAAAGTATGTCATCAAAATTTCATAAAAAATGTCATTGTATAGTATGTCGTCCAAATTTCATAAAAAATGTTATAGTAGGTCATCAAAATATCATAAAAAATGTCATAGTGTAGCATGTTATCAAAATATCATAAAAAATGTTATAGTATGTCATTCAAATATAATAAAAAATGTCATAGTATAGTATGTCATCAAAATTTCATAAAAAATGTCATAGTATAGTATATCATCAAAATATCATAAAAAATGTCATAGTGTAGTATGTCATCAAAATATCATAAAAAATGTCATAGTATAGCATGTTATCAAAATATCATAAAAAATGTCATAGTATAGTATGTTATCAAAATATAAAAAATGTCATAGTATAGCATGTTATCAAAATATCATAAAAAATGTCATAGTAAAGTATGTCATCAAAATTTCATAAAAAATGTCATTGTATAGTATGTCGTCCAAATTTCATAAAAAATGTTATAGTAGGTCATCAAAATATCATAAAAAATGTCATAGTGTAGCATGTTATCAAAATATCATAAAAAATGTTATAGTATGTCATTCAAATATAATAAAAAATGTCATAGTATAGTATGTCATCAAAATTTCATAAAAAATGTCATAGTATAGTATATCATCAAAATATCATAAAAAATGTCATAGTGTAGTATGTCATCAAAATATCATAAAAAATGTCATAGTATAGCATGTTATCAAAATATCATAAAAAATGTCATAGTATAGTATGTTATCAAAATATAAAAAATGTCATAGTATAGCATGTTATCAAAATATCATAAAAAATGTCATAGTAAAGTATGTCATCAAAATTTCATAAAAAATGTCATTGTATAGTATGTCGTCCAAATTTCATAAAAAATGTTATAGTATGTCATCAAAATATCATAAAAAATGTCATAGTGTAGCATGTTATCAAAATATCATAAAAAATGTTATAGTATGTCGTCCAAATATAATAAAAAATGTCATAGTATAGTATGTCATCAAAATTTCATAAAAAAAGTCATAGTATAGTATGTCGTCCACATATAATAAAAAATGTCATAGTATAGTATGTCATCCAAATTTCATAAAAAATGTTATAGTATAGTATGTCATCAAAATTTCATAAAAAATGTCATAGTATAGTATGTCGTCCAAATTTCATAAAAAATGTCATAGTATAGTATGTCATAATTGTATAAAATGTCATAGTACAGTATGTCACAAAACAATGTCATACAATACTAAGTCAATAAAAATATTCATTTAATGTAATAGTATAGCGAAATCTGGAAACCTTGTGTGGTCCCTAAACGTTACATGAAATCCATGCAATAGATTTCATGCTACTAACTTACAAACTTAAATTTATCCTGAGAAAACATTAATACTTTAACTTCAGTAGCTTACCTTAAATTCCCTACTCGATCGCTGCGTCAAAATGCAGACACCTAACAAGCATCTGTCAGGTTAGGAATGACAACTTGTAACAAATTCCTGGTTGCTTGGCAACTAGTGCCATCTGACCAGTTTTGCAGGAATTACCTCGTCATCAATGCTATTACCGTTAGCTCATGTTAGCGTTTTCAGTGGACCACTCAGCAGTTAATGCAGAAGTAAGCTGGATTTTGTGTGTGTGTGAACTTTTTCTGTGACCCTCAGTTGGGTGGCTTCCTAAATTGGCACTTTGTCATCGAAAATTGATACAAAAACTACAGTTTAGATAATGACCAAATTAGCAGATTGCAGGAGTGCAGGATATTGCTTTGCACTCACTGGTTGTCAGGCAATCAGCAAAGATGCCAAGGAGGTTAAAAAGGGAAGTCATGACATCATATACTCAGGGTCTAACACTTTTGCAGAGTAAAATCCAGTCTGCAGCTGCAGAAAGGCTCAACAGCTGGGGCACCATCAGACCATGGGGATGATTGATTTGTTTCATTGAGGCGTCCACAGTCAGCCTTGAGTCGCAATATATTGTATACGAAAAATAGATATGGGATAAAATTACAATTGTTATTACCATAAAGGTCCTTACTATAAGCCAAACAAATGCTTTCTATTGTGAAATTGTTATGTTGTGCATCGGCCGCCATCCATTTGATCATACCATAAAATTTCTGTCAGGCCGAGCGAACACCATCTCTTTATTTATGGCGCCCTCTGCTGTAACACAGCTCCAGTTACATGCTCACATCACACCCCATAGCTCCCATGGGGTCAGAGAACATGTCCCAGCCTCCATTTAATACACTTAGAGACACGAGGACATTACAGAGTGCAATCACCTGTAAAAATATTGACAAGTTGACAGTTTGACCCAATTTTATTCGTTTCCTTTGGAAAACCTATTGTATTTCATCGCAACACACATTTCAATCTACAGTGTACACTTACAAAGGGCTGTAAATAGGAAGGTCAGCTGAAACACGACTTGGTGCATTTACAGTTAAAGCAAAATGGTTCAGCAACCAAAAATTTACCATGAGGTTGGTGCTGGGCGGCGGGTGACTAACAGTCTGAAGAAAGAAAGGACTCAACCCCGACTAGTAAAATATTTACATGGACAGCATTGTAGTGTCAAACGCTGCATACTCTACCGTCAGGAGGACAAAGTTCCAACACAAAGGCAACAAAAAGAAAAATCAACAGGATCTTAAAAAAGTACAGCAATGACAATTTAAAACCATGTCTCATGTTATTCGTATTTTAGTCCTTGTTTTTTGTCTTTACAAAAATTATTTGACTGTTTCCCTCTACACCCGCTCCTTCCCCGACACTTCTACAGTTAAGACAACAAATCGTTTTAACTTTGCGTGATCAGGCACAGACATGTTGTGGCCTATATTAAAAATATAAAAGAGGATAGTGGAAAGATAATACGGTCTGGTTCGGGATGTTCTTAGTCGCTCATCTCCATGTCTTCCTGATGGTGGTCGTCCCCATTCAGTTTGGACTTTTTGGGGATCTGGCCCTCAGATCTCTCCATCTCCTCCGGGCCTTTGGGGGATGAGGCAGAGTCGGAGTCGCTCTTCCTCTCGTCGTCATCCTCCTCTCCTTCCTTTTCACTGTCATACCCTTGCTCCTCTTCATCGTAATCCCGGGTCACCTGTGGAGATAACTAAAGTGAGTTTTTAGCTTTCGTATAAAAAGTGGCCGCCTACTGGGATGTTCAACTGGATGCTAGTAATTTCAGTAGGAAAATCAGTGCTCTGAACGTACCTTAACATCTCCTTTCTCACTGTCGGACTTGCGTTCCCGATCTCGTTCCTTGTCTTTGCTCTTCTTCTTCTTACTTGTGGAGCGTTCTCTTTCATCTCTGCTGCGGTCCCTGTCCTCCCTCCTGTCTCTGTCCCGCTCCTTCTCACGCTCCTTGTCCTTCTTCTTCTCTTTCTTGTGACTGTGAACATGACAAATAAATTACTTTTAGCTGTTGTCCTAAGCATAACTAAATTAACTGCATGTGAAAAGTGTTTGAGAACTCACCGTCTGGGCGATGGAGACCTGGACAACCTCCTCCTGGGGGACCGAGATGCACTGCGGCTTCGCCTGTGCCTCCTGAGACACAAAGCAATACGTTGCATCACATTATTTGAAAGGAAATACACCTATTGTGACTAGTGTGAGCCTGTATTTCACCATAACAATACATAACAGTGCACTAAGATCACTCACCGACTAATGCTTCGAGACCTCCTGGCACTGCTGTAGCTCTTGGGGGGCGTCTTTGACCTTTTCTTAGACTTCTCCTCCTTCCTCCTGTCCCTATTCAAGACATAGGCAACGTTAACAGAATTAGCAAACAGCAGTGCATTGAAGGAAACAAAAAGCTGATGGACTGGCACCTTTTGCAAGTGTTGCATTTACAGAAAGTGTCAGGCTTAAATATAAAAATCATGACTACAACTGCAGCTCATAGTCTGCACCAGTGATCAACATATGTGGTCTGCAATAAAATGAAAAATGCAGCTATTTTTGTGCTGAGAACATCAGTCGAGCTGCTGACCTAGATCTACTGCGGCGGCCTCTATCCCTGGAGTGGGACCTCCTCCTCCGTGGACTCTTGGACCTCCTCCTACTCCTTGAATGGGACCTCCGCCGAGACCTGCTCTTCGAACGTCTGTCAAAATGAAGCAGTGGCACGTTTTTAAAAATAGAAAATTATTGACAGAAAATTAAATAAACTGTTTGTGTCTTGTACGGAGTTACTAGAGCCATTTTGTATATCTGACAATTCTAGTCAAGAGACAGAAGTTGTCATGCTGATGTCTTTACCTGTGTCTTGAGCGAGACCTGGACCGCCTGCGCCGTGACCGCGAACGAGAGCGGGAATGTTTGCGCTTGTCATCCTTCTTATCTGCAAAAACAATGACAAAGTTAAATGTCTACCAGGTAGCAGAGACGAATGGAACAAATATTCCACAGCTGACTGAACAAATTTAGGTCTCACTGTTTAATTAAACAGGACATTAGTGTTTTCACTCATCATACTGAACCCTGAACTGCTGAATAAACAAGTAATCTTCATGTGAAGGGGACATGAGAAAACAGAGCACTCACTTCCTGGTTCAATGGCGGCAGAGATGAGAGACTGGGCCTCTCGGACTCTCTTCATGGCCTCTTCGATCTCCTTGTTGGAGGCATCATTCTTCAGCCCTGGATTCAAGTTCAGTCCAGCCGCTAATGGATTCAATCTGCAAGTGCCATCAGTTATTTAGTTTTTTCTCCCAACAATTATTGGTTTGCATACCCTGGATGAGTGTGTATGGTTTCTTACTTGGGGTCCATGGACTGCATGAGCTTCAGGAAGTCTGCAGAAAGAGCCTGACAAAGATAAAAGGAGGCTATTAATATTAGAGAGAAATTTAGTTTGAACATGGTGTGACTATGAATGTGACTGATCAAATGCTCACCTGGGGGTTCATGTTAGGGCCCGGCATTCCCATGGCAGCCATTTGCTCCATGTTGGGAGCTCCAAGACCTCCGAATGGCGTCCCTCCCATCTGAAGTAACAAACGCAGACACTATTATAATCTGCAGAGCAACTTCAACTGCACTTTTCTTTTTTGTTCTGAAAATGTTGGTGTGTAGCCTCATTCTGTGGATGATAAACAAGGCGCAGACTGATAAAGGAGGAAATACAGTGACTGCCGGATGGTTCAGTGAGTGACAACAACCCCGCCCACACGAAGAGTACTGTTTGCGGTGGAAACGCTGAACAGACCTAGGGTCTAGATATAATGTCTGAAAGGTTACTTTTGGTTCAAAAGTACCATACTGAAAGTGTTTGGTGGAAACGGGGCTTAACTGCTGAAGTTCAGTTGTTGGAAAACACCACAGAAAAGTGTAAATATGTTAAAAATACACAAACTATAATTTGGCCAACACTTGGTCAAAGTTGAGATAAAAAAAGAAATTCATATAGCAATAGAAAAGAGAAACCAAAATGATTAGAAACATGATGAAAGCTTTAAAGTCAAACTTAATGTGAAAACGCACTGTTGCCAGAGGATTGGGTGTTGGAAGAAGGCCTCCCCCAGGCATCATTCCTGCCACGGCATTGGCTGGAGCCAGCAGCGACATAGCTTTAGATTCATCAGGAATGACTCCTGGAGAAAAACAACAACATTTCAGTACACGCTCCGAGCAAACATCGATAAACACTAAGACAAGACTTGCAGACAAGCCACCTCAGTCTAACTACTCTGTAGTCAAAATAAAATCTGGTAAAAAAAAAAAAAAAAAAAAAAAATCCACTTTTTTTTGTCTTGTCTGTAAATCTTGATCCCTGACTCTTTTGTTGTGAAAGTATGATTGTAGGATTAGCAGCTATGAGTTTATAAGTCACAATACACACTGTGGTCAACACTGCCAAGATTTTATCACCTGTACTTGTTTTTTAAGTCATGAACCAAACGTAAGCAAGCACAGCCAGTTGTCCCGTGGGATGTGCTCTCAACTTTCATTAGATGTTTTATGAACAAGCGACTCGTGCCGGCTGCTTCGCTATAAAGCACACAAAAACATTGAGATACAGAAAACAAAGTTCATGATTTGGGTGTAGACACATGGGTACAATTCAACATCACTTACCATCCATTACCATTACCAATACAGAAACAGAAAAGGCTCACACATATTACCTTTTCTGGGCTTTTGTTGGTGGTTACTTTGTACAATCCCACCACAAAATAAAATCTTACTTGGCAACGAGATAAATATTGCTTACAAGCTACAGCGTTGCTAGGTTTTAGCCAACAGTCTGTCACTAGAAACACTAAACAATGTCAAAGATAAGCTGCACTAAACAGTTATGGGACTACTGCCAGCAAAAGCTGTGATAAAATCAAGAAAAATGTGCCCAAAGCTGAAGAAACCAAACAGTAAAATCAAAGGGAAAATCTTATGGAGATGATCATCCATGGTGCAATCTGAAAACAGGCTATTTTTTAATCTGACATTTGACATTTTAAAAGGGGAGGGAGAGAGAGAGAGAGAGACACACACACGCGCACACACACACAACAGAAAGGACACTTGAGAAACAGGATAAGGCTGCAGAAGACAAAACTGTTGGTGGCATTTTCAGCAGGGCCTGGTATATAGGGCTGGCTGAACCAGGAAAAAGAACTGTAAAACACAACAACAAAAGAAACACCACTGTTAAACGTGAGATTCACTCAACTCTTTCAGAGTCATGTGTGGAGAGGGTCAATAAAAAAAAAAAGCATTTTACTGCAACATCAAGCAGAGGCTTATTAAAACTACTTTTATCTCGTGTGTTAGTAAAAAATTTGGAAATACAGATGCAGAGTGTAAAAATAATAACCAAGCTTTGGCACATGAAGCGAGTAAACGCCAAAGGCAGTTTGTGCGCTTATCATGATTAACAACCAGATTATATGCTAATCATCTTCCACAACATCTGCTGAAAGTCACTGTGCTGATGATGGCACACACCTTCAACATCTATTCTAGCATGCACAGCTGATTAGTTCATCTATCCTGCATGCTCTGTGCTGGTGTAGGGATGTCCCGAACATTGTTCCCTGATCTGATGTGTTCGATATGAGCATTACGCCAAAGTCCTGATCCAGTATTTATATTTATCTCTAACGAAGCTGCACAGTGCACACTTTGCCCAGTCATGCCAAATTACATTTAATATGGTGATCCAGTTGGGTCAACAGATTCCTTTTTTATCACTGTAAATCAATACAACAAAATCTAATGCACAGAACAGACCTAATAAAAAAAAAAGTAATAATGGAGGGGATAAGATATTCATTCATACTCTATACATACATACACACACACACACACACACACACACACACACAAGCAGTACCAACGTAAGTACAAATATTAAATATTACTGGCTGTGTGATTTCAGTGCAATATTTAGTGTAGTAACTGTTCAACAGTCTGCTGGTGTGTTTCAATTGTCCGATAACATCTTCCTGAGGGCAGAGGGGAGGTGAAAATGTCTCCCAGGGCAGGTAGGTGTGTGTGTGTGTGTGTGTTATAAAAAACAAAGCCACACCCTCAACACCCACACAGGTAACGTCTTCACTTGGGTGGTTGATCAGATGTCTCCTGAGAACTGTGTGCACCTTTAGACTGTGATCTGATTGACATCTTGCATCAACCAAACACCAAGCTTAGCCCCGTCCACCTTCAACCTAACATTTTGTCTCATCAGCCAGTAACTGAAGACACCTGTGTGTACATGAAGGGTGTTTAAATGTTTCCTTCAGCGTTGTGTGTCATATCAATGGGCAAAGGAGTGTCAGCGTGGTCTTGGCAATAAATAAACTACATGTATGCTATGCAACATAACTTATACACTATGCCAGCATTTAAACAGTGTTTTAGGTGTACAACATCTGGAAAATGTTGCTGAAATTGAGCCAAAGCAACTAGCTTACAGTAGATTTTCTCGTGGATGCATGCCGTCAGTGTTGATATAAACTGAAACTCACTGTTAATGTTTACTGGTTCAAGCACAGTGGGACATTTAGACAGCTGGCGTATCCAGAGTGCAAAAGCTTCAAATATAAACAGAGGATCAGAAATGGTTCAGGCTTAAAAATCATTACCAATAATGGAAAAATTGTCTCGATCTACCAGCGGATCTGCTCGGGGCATCCCTAGTCTGGTGCATGCCTACTAATCAACATACATGTTAATTAAAAAATATTTAAAATTCTTTGACCATTTGAGGAATTGAGATTTCCCACCACCCCCTCATTTTGCATAAGAGTTGTGTGGCTAATTCAAAAAATAAAAAATAAAGATGCCTTGGACAGAGAGAAAAAAAATAAAGAGTTAATGTTTTACTGCAGAACAACAGAGAGAAGGGGGCTTGCGAGCCTGGTGCCATTATTTTTTCTAATCTCCTGATGGCAGCAGAGGACCACTTTCAGCCAGCAAGGAAGGGGCTCTCTGCAAATGACTTGTCCACTATGAAAACCACAACACAAATAACAGAGAGAGAAGTTTACAGCTAGATTGTCAGACATGGACACAAATGTACATTTTCCCTTTTTACATACCTAGAAATGCCAAGCACTGAGAAGCTTAGCGAATTTTTGCTTGGTCACAAAAAAAAACTCACAATGGCTCAGATAGTGTAATTCTATCAAAGACAACCTACACATTGTGATGCATGTTCAGAGATAGCCATGTGAGTGAGACGAGGATAAATAAGAGACACCCACCTTCAGCAAAAGGGACCACGATCAAGGCTCGGTCCACGAAGACAGTGTTCGTCAGGTGTTGGGAAACTCCCACCGACTCAGACTCAAGGAACTTTACAAAACAGACACGTGAAGTCACAGGCAAGGGAGAGTCACTGGAAGAAAATACAGATATGTTGTGCAAAGAATACAAACAAGGAGACCCAACATGCCTTCTTCAAACTGACCTGAATGAGCTTTGTGTCCCCAGAGACAACCAACTTTCAGCTACTCTCTGACTCTGATTAGACCAACAATCCATCTTAGAAATATTTTTTCACAGTGTGTTGTAAAACAGGGCTGGAAATTGGCATGTGGCTGCTAGATTTGTTTCACTCACCAGCTAAAAGTATGGTAGGTGGACAAAAAAGTTACAACCCTGGTTGTAGGGTTAGCACATTGATTTTTAACAGATTGTCAGTAAGCCAAGATCAGTGTCAATCAGTGATGCTTTGAATATCTTCTGTTGTTACAGTCCTTGACGTCCTACCTGCTGAGAAGCCAGGTGTAAACCGATACAGGAAAATACAAAGCAGAGAACAATTATTTCTTACTACTGTCAATGTTAAAATACTGTAAACAGAGTATGTATCGCGGGAGCTCATTAGCATCCCGAGTGAGATGTAGGGAACCCGAGGGATGGCCGGCAGGAAGTAACTGACATAACAATATTAACACTGAGCTAATTTGTTTTTCCACTTAGTGTAACATCAGCATTTATTACGTTAAGCAGATGCTGTTACAGCTAGGGCTGCAACTTGGAGGAGGGATCCCTCCTGGGTTGCCTTTGCTGAGGTTTTGACCATTTTCACCCCATTAAAGTTTATTTTAGTTTATTCGAGGGACCAAGAACAGGGGGATGTTGTGTGCTGCAAAGTCCTGAAGCAAATTGTGATTTTGAGCTTTCTAAATAAAATTTAACCTTGTTTACATACATTATTATTATTATTATTATTATTATATGTTGCATTTATTTTTTACTGCTTACAATCAGCCCCTCAAGTGCAATATCAGCAGTTTTAACTGACTTCCATCAGTCAATAACGTAAAATCAGCCATTCAGGCTCTCTTTATTATATTCTGCTCCTTTTTGATGCTTCCTTATTATATTATATTATATTTTTATTATACTGCTCTTTATTTTTGTAGTTTACTTATTGTACGTACTTTGCTACATACTTCATTTTATTTTCTATTGATGCTTCCTATTTGCACTAAAAGCATTATCTTATCTTAGCCTATCATAATTTTGGTTAATTTGACAATTACTTTACCAAATACTTGATTAAATTTCCTTAAAATATCAGATAAAACACACCATAATCTATTTAGCCTACAGTGACTTAAAGCAGAGAAAGACAGAGAGTCTTGGGCAGGCTAGTATTTGATATTTTACAAGGCTGAAACTGTTAATTAACTCTCAATAATATTGATAATAAAATATGATAGTTTTAAAGGTGATTTGTCAAAACAAAAACGTTGTGCTTTACTACTTATTATTACTACTTTGCTTTTGATTTTTTTTAATCACTGCCAACTAGATAACTTAAACTTGACAATGGGAAGTTATAATAGCAATTTTTTAGAATGTATTTTCTTACATTTTGGGGCTCAACACGTAATCATACATAAATTACAGATTATCATATGAAAAACATAATATATAGTTGAAATCCTTGCATTTTGGCTTGAAAACTGATTCAACAAGTAACACATTATCAAATTTGTTGATGATTAGGTTGATTGATTAACCTTTATCAGCTCTATTTACACCCCAGAGTCTGTGGAGTAAATGCAATGTTGCAGTAAGTGCTAAATACCCGACATGATATTATATAACGAGATCCCTGTGTGATGGTCATGCGGTGGTGTTGAGGGGAGTGACTGCTGCTGCATTCACTGGAGGCGCGGGCAAACGTTAGCATTAGCATTAGCATACCGTGCAGCGAGGCCTACTCGACACCACAGGCCTCAACTCAAGCCTAGCGTGAACCAGGTAAGATAGGTACGACAGCGTTTCACCTATTAATAGTACACAATACTCACTCAGGTGGAAACAGTTTGAGCTCCTCTATGTTCCCGAGGAATCCAAACAGAGTCCTCATTTGTTCGGACGTTGTGCTCGGGGAGACGTTTGTCACCTGAATGACGTGCGTGTTGGAATTCATTTTCTCGAGTACCGATCAAACTGCCTCAGTTTAAAACAAAAAAGACGAGCTAGGAAACGTTTACGATGAAAACAACATCAGGCGGTTACAAAAGTTAGCATCTTTCCTGTAGGTAAACGGTTATTAACATTTGCTGCGGGCGAATACACGACGGCCGCGAGCACAGAGCAACAATGCCGCTGCCGAAAATGTCGTGAGGCAGGGATGCTGCTTTCACGTGCAGATTTGTAGGCTCGTACTAATAACCTCCTACCTAGCAAATCCAAGTTGTCCCATTTAAAATGGAAAGAAAAACATGGCTATGTTTTTGTCTGATAGTTACCTTCGGTGGAACAAGTACAAGTACCAATTAACGGCAAATTAATTACTTTTAAGGTTCACTTCTAATATACATTAACATACTTTCTGGCTTTCCTTTGTAGTGATCTTATTTTGTGTTTTTTCTTGATTGTTTTCCAATTTATTATTCTGTATTTTTGCTCTGTGTTGTCTGTCTATAACGTATGCTACTGCCTGTCTTGGCCAGGACACTCAGATTTTTAATTAATTTTTTTCTCAAGAGTTTTTTTTCTGGTTAAATGAAGGTTAAATAAATAAAACTAAAAAAAAAAAAATAAAAGAAATGGTCACATAGGGATTCAAGGACTTTATACTTAATGTATTTTATCAACACATTATTTACTATTTTTTGAGGCCAATACTGTTATCAAGATATGTGAGTTTACATACTAAAATATATTTTACACTGTAAAACTCCACTTGTCTGTACTCTGGCAGACAAACTCTGTAATGGCGACACTGTGTTTAAATTAGGCTACCTCAAACCTCGTTTGGCATTTGCGGCTGGAGCTGCAATGATTAATGGATTAGCTCCATTAGCTGCCAACTTAAGTTAATCTTTAACTAGTTTGATAATTGAGTAATCAGTTTGAGTAATTTTATATGAAAAAAAAGTCAAAATTCTCAGATTCCATCATCTCACGTGTGAATATTAACAAGTTTCTTTACTCCTTTATGACAGTAAACTAAATATCTTGAGGTTGTGGACAAGAAAAGAAATATAAAGATGCCATTTATAATGTTTCTTCAACAAAAAAGCATCAGCTGATACAGTGGCTTGAGCAGTCTCTAGTAAAATAATAATAATAAAAAATAATAACTTATCTGTTCAGTAAATGTGCTGGAGTTAAAGTGGACCTACAATACTTTTCTGCTAAAATGCAATAGAGTAGCCCATAAATTAGCATCAAATGGAAAAACTCAAGTAATAGACCCCCAATTTGTACTTTTATGGTAAGTCACTAACTGTTTTGAGTTACTTCAACCTTTGATATTTACATAAAGCTCCAGAAACAGGATGAAGAGGAGAATATGTGCATCATGTACAATATAGACCTATGATCCTTATTCATGTTATGATGTTTTCTATTCAGGAGTATCATTTCTGGTGTAAAAACAAACACACTGCAACTCCACCAGTCCCTTAGTTAAGTTGTTATTATGGTTTTAAAAAGAATATTTTCAGTTTTTGGTCATTTGAAATACTGAGTAAAATCTGACTGTATTCAGAAATAATTAAATTAATAAAACTTTAATATCTCTACAGCCAATTCTAATTAATTTCTGAGTATATATAATGCTAAAATTCTAACTCTCATTTTTCCAACTGCACGTGAAGGAAGTCTGGCTCGGAATACGGCTGAATCCATAGTGGGTGTGGCCAAAGTTGTGTCACAGCATTTAGTTGCTAGGCTGCTAACGCTAGCTTGGAGCTAGTGGTTTATCCAAATAGCATTAGCGCCGTTTTCTCTTCGAAATCTCAAAGCCATGCAAACACCGGGATATTTTAGGAACGACAAGTGAGTGCAGCGACAAATTAGTAATTTTAAACTATCAAACAGGGCCTGTCTATGTGCTGGGGTTAAACAAACAGCGTCGGAGGGCAACTCAGCGACCCACATATAACGTTAGGCGCAAAGTCGTCGCTTGCTAACTTAGCATCCTCGCTCCTGGCTGGTATGTCAACAGGTTGTTGCAGTGTACGTTACTGGTAATATTTGGATTAAATGGCATCCCGTGAACGTTAACGGTGTTGTTCAATTTCAGTGTAACGTTAGCAAATGTTGCTTTGCTTCATAAACGTGAGGATCCAGTAACACGGGGCGAACAAGCTGTCAAGATAGACCTGCAGAGATCAACGACATGAGACAGACAAGTGAGTGCACTTCCGTCCTCTCTGCAGAGGTAAACCACATTTTCTGTGCATGGTAACAACGTGGATTTAGACGGTGCAACACTGGCGCGAAATGCATGCAAACATTACCTGCAGAGCTGGAGCCCCCCCAACACAACATACTCACTGGCCACTTTATTAGGTACACCTTGCTAGTTTTGCCTTGAGCACTGCCTTAATTCTTGGTGTCATAGATTCAACAAGGTGCTGGCAACATTCCTCAGAGATTTTGGTCCATATCAACATGATAGCATCACACAGTTGCTGCAGATTTGTCGGCTGCACATCCATGATGTGAATCTCCCGTTCCACCACATCCCAAAGGTGCTCTATTGGACTGAGATCTGGTGACTGTGGAGGCCATTAGAGTACAGTGAACTCATTGTCATGTTCAAGAAACCAGTTTGAGATGATTTGAGCTTTGTGACATGGTGCGTTATCCTGCTGGAAGTAGCCATCAGAAGATGGGTACACTGTGGTCATAAAGGGATGGACACGGTCAGCAACAATACTCAGATAGGCTGTGGTGTTTAAACCATGCTCAGTTGGTACTAAGGGGCCCAAAGTGTGCCAAGAAAATATCCCCCACACCATTATACCACCACCACCAGCCTGAACCGTTGATACAAGGCAGGATGGATCCATGCTTTCATGTTGTTTACACCAAATTCTGACCCTACCATCTGAATGTAGCAGCAGAAGTCCAGACTCATCAGACCAGGTGACGTTTTTCCAATCTTCTACTGTCCAGTTTTGGTGAGCCTGAGTGAATTGAAGCCTCAGTTTCCTGTTGTTAGCTGACCGGAGTGGCACCTGGTGTGGTCTTCTGCTGCTGTAGCCCATCTGCTTCAAGGTTGGACGTGTTGTTGGTTCAGAGATGGTCTTCTGCAGACCTTGGTTGTAACAAGTGGTTATTTGAGTTACTGTTGCCTTTCTATCATCTTGAACCAGTCTGCCCATTCTCTTCTGACCTCTGGCATCAACAAGGCATTTTCACCCAGAGAACTGCTGCTCACTGGATATTTTCTCTTTTTGGGACCATCCTCTGTAAACCCTAGAGATGGTTGTGTATGAAAATCCCAGTAGATCAGCAGTTTCTGAAATACTCAAACTAACCCGTCTGGCACCAACAACCATGCCACATTCAAAGTCACTTAAATCACCTTTTTTCCTCATTCTGATGCTCGGTTTGAACTTCAGCAGGTTGTCTTGACCATGTCTACATGCCTAAATGCACTGAGTTCTTGCCACATGATTGGCTGATTAGCAGGTGTACCTAATAAAGTGGCTGGTGAGTGTAATTAATTGCCCTAAAATGTTTTAAAGATGGTCTCTACTAAATGTGAAGGTAAATACCTGGAAGTTGCACAAGTTTTAAACCTATTACTGTTTCTGGCAGTCAGTGCCGTGTGTGTGTGTGTGTGTGTGTGTGTGTGTGTCCGGACTAAACTGAGTTTTCTTTCTCTTACAGGAAAATGTTGGCAACTTGGAGTAAATGTGAACTGGAGGGACACAAAATGATGAATGTTTTCCCACCCACACTCCCATTCTCATGACGCCAGCAGGGAGATATGGGCATCCTCAGACTGGTAGCCAGAATCATGGGTAGGATCAGTACATTCAGGTCCTATCAGTTTGTGCTTCTCCTGGCTGCAGCGCTTGCTGTCGTAGCTTTTTACTACTTTGGCTCAGAGAAGCAGAACTTCTCCAGCACCACAAAGCGGATCAAGCAGACCCAGGCCAGCCACAATGCCAACAGGAACGATGCTGACCTAACTGTGGACACCAGGCTCTCACAGATGACTGGATCTGAGGAGCAAGGAGAGGAAGAGCAAGATGTGGGAGGAGAGAGCGATAGATTTGGGCCTAGGAAAGGGGACGGACGCTACCACGCACTCATGATGTTCACCAAGGTGGACAAGAGCCGGAGCCTGCAGGACAAGTTTAAGGTGGCCATGTTGTCTATGGTGAAGCATGGACGCTTCATGGAAGGAGAGGTGTTGGTCCTTCATTTTGTGAGCGACCAGGCCAGCAAAGAACTGGGAGAGAGGATGCTGCAGGAGTTTCTCCTTGACGCAACATTCAAGCATGAGGTAAGGCAGTCTAAAAATGTGTTGGCACTGTACCATGGTTCTGTTATCTGTTTGTTTTTAATATAAGAAGTTAGGTCTCATGATACTGAGATAGTGGATTCGTTTTTTTACATTTTAAAGAATGTACTTGAGCTAAGTCAGAGCAGATAAAAGAAGCTAGTGTTAAGATCTTTGTAGTGAAGCGGCGCCCCAGAGACACATCTTGTATTTAACTGCACAAAGTCTTACATTATTTCAACATTCAACACCTCAGAGTCTGATGGAAAAGAGCAATCACAAGTTAACTCTGACTAGGAGAGTCATCTTTGCCCCTAAGCACAACATTTTGACAGACTATATTCATCTTGATTTCCCGACAGATTTCTAACAGGAAGAAATAAGAAATCCAAAAATATTTTAAAGACATCGCGTTGCCTGTCTATATAAATTGAACATTTATAAAGAGGGGTTATTCAGCTTTTGTTTGACATGGTATCCAGCCTTAGGGGGGCTTGGCTAAGCCTTAGAGATAGAGTAAGGAGCTCGGACATCTAGATG